AAAATATTAAGCTGCAGCTGGAGATTCTCATGGAGATTTGTTTGAGAATATAATGAGCATTTATAGTTTCTGTGTAACTAAATTCTCTCTGTATATAATACATAGCAATGGCCAAATATATGCCTAGACTAAGACACAACCCCCACCAAGTGTGTATAAAATTTTACCAGTAGAAAAGCAGCCTTTTCAAATAAAACATGTACGTCTAAAATGTCACTTTAAATAAACATTCGTGTCTTTTAAAGTAATTATTCTACGATTGTGTGTAATCAAATTTAATACAATTTATATTGATTTTTTAACTCCTTCACTTCATACACAATATCGTGATTGGCTCCTTAAAGACACCGATTGTACAGTGTACAAAGCATTGATTATGCATATGCTACAGTCATTTAATGTTTATCTATTGGCTGGTAATTCCTGTTTCATCCTCTACTTCAGCTTTTTAAAGTAATACCAGATATTTGTAAGAAAGCTAACTTCAAGGAGTAATAACATAGTTGACACTAGAATTATGATTGTTTTAGCTTATGTAAAACATAGAAGGAATAAATCGACTTTTCAAGACCCCTACGACCTTCTCAGTATCTTATTTAGTATTCTAGTAAGGGTTAGGTGCAATATACCAAGCTGTTTTTGTTGTAGGCTGGCAAGAGAATAGTAATAATAATAATAATAAGTACAAACGGCTGTTTGGATCGGATTTTCTTTTCCTTGGAAATCTAACGCGCGTGTTTTATTTGTGCATTTTTATGTGAATAACCTTAGCAGTCAATATTAAAGGTTTTAAAGTGTTGTTTGAACTTAATCTTCACTGTTTAAGGTGCGTTTTGCCCGAACGTTCTATTGGGCTTTTGTGCAATTCATAGCGATCCTTATTATGAACTATTGTGGTTCATGATACGTCCATTCACTCAAGCATCAAATTAATGCTGATGACGTCATGCGACCTTCGTACACAAGAGCCCCCCCCCCCTCCTCCCCAGCATACTTCACTTTTACTTGAAGTTATCCTTAACATTCTGGGATTAAATGCTCCCTGGGCGCGGGTTTGCCCCGTGGTAGAGCTCTGGATTTCGGAGCTGGAGAGTCGGGTTCGAATTCGTGGACAACACGAAATATTTCCCGCGCTTTAAGCTGTGGGTGCGTTATAAGAATGAAAGTCAATCCATTATCATGAATGGTGGGTGGTAGGGTACTGCTTGACTGGCTGCGTTCCTTCTGGTCAGTAATTCAAAATTAGGGACGGCGTTAGATATACCCTTAGTATCATTGCCATAAATACAAATTACAATCTTCAGTTCCCCTACGGCTGTCATCCATAAAAGTTTCCAGTCCAAGACCATGTTGCGATTCGATTTTTAAAGGCCTGTCATCAAATTAATTTGTTGTAAAACAAAAGTAACCCGAAAGATTACATATCCTCATCCCGCTGATCCTTTTTCGAGACAGTATATGTTGGATAACGTCAAATTTCTCGTTAGAAAACTTGGAAAATCCTTCTCAGATCCCGAATGATCGATGATCCGGATGATTTTTTCTACTGTGATGAGGAGTCTCAAGCTTAATGTGCTCATGAAATTTGGTACAAATTCCCTCTAGTATTTCACTGCTAAATTAGAGACAGCTAGCGCAGATAGCCCTCGTGTAACTTTGCGCAAAATTCAAAACAAGACGCTTAACTTAAGAGGCTTAGTTTTCAACATATTTTATCAGCTTTTAATATATAAGGTAAAAATTAACATAGTCAAGGAACCAGGCTTTAAAGTAAGACATTATTGCTTCAGTTGTAAACGTAATTGAGCTCAAGTAAACATCCTACTTCATATAAACAAACTTCGTTTCTCCAACATCTTTCATATCAATCAACAGAGAACACTTAAGATGTCTCATAGTTTACCGTATAGTCTCGCCATATGTGGGACTTCACGAATAACGATTACCGACTTGCTGATTGATCTAATGATTGCTGTAGAACTGCTTTGATTCTCACGACCGTTTAATTTAGGTTCAACCTTTGACCTTGTCAGCCTTTTTGGTGACTATTATGATAGAACAGTCGAACACCGAACTTCTATATAACCTCTCTATATGCTTGTATTGTAAAAAATAAAGCGTTATAAGCAACAATTATTTGTCAAGGTGGAGTATTGAAGAACATTGGGAGTTAAATTAAGCAGTAGATGATGATGGAGGGCATTAACTCGTTATAACTCCTTTACCTTATCGTCCTCCGATGGGACAGTCTACGGACTTAAAACCGGGGTTCGACACCCTGTGGTGGACATAGCAGATAGCCCAATGTGGCTTTTATCTAAAACAAGCCCTTAGCATATTGTTATTCAAAAGTAAGAAACAAACGAAAAGGATCTTAGTGTAATGCGCATGCGCTATTTATAATACTGAACTAAACAAGAAGGAATCCTCAATAGCCGCGGCATTTGAAACTATTTTAGACAGGATTCTAGTAAATTACCGTATGGGACTTTTTTTTTTCTTTTTTATTAGCTACATTTTTGTGCGACAGCAACACAAGCATGGGGGCGCGCGTATACCTGATTCGATTTTATTACTCATCAGGATCTCTACCAGCCTACCCTCAAATTGAAATTCTTTTACGCAAGAATAGGTTAAATTAATCTGTGAGACCTTGGGCGTGATCAAGTACATCAGTCGAAAGGGTTTTACCGCTTGAGTCCAAAACTGTAATTAGATCTCAAATTGGTCAAGAGAAGACTGAGCTACGAGTTAAAAGTTTGTACTTGAAAAACTCAGAGCCATTCTATGAGCCGTTATGCCGCGACTAAAAATTTGATGACACATTGTTACAACGAATATTTCAAATTAAATAAGAAAATTTAAAGCAAAGTAATACATATAAAGTTCATAATATTAAAAAAAAATACTAAGATTTTAGTTAAATATTCAAACAAACTAATAAACTAGAAACATAACGTTTTAACAGATAACGTACAGAGAAGGAAATTGTGTAATTAATCGTTAATTACGTTTTAAAAGAAAATATATTTGTAATTGATACGTTAGGTTTAAACGTATTTGAACCATAATTTTTTCTAGTTTATTCGCATATCAACACGTACGCATGTTAAGAACACCTATTACCACATGGTCAGAAAAACGTGTGGTTTCGTTTTCTGTAGTACAAAAAAAAAAAAAGTTTAGTCTTCTAGACTTTATATGTTTTAAATGTTACTAGAATGCGATTATTACACACCCTACGTTTGGAGTTAAGAATTCCCTTAACAAAGTGATAGGGTTAAGAGTGAGGTGTCTGTGTTTCAAACCGAACTATTCCTGTAACCAATATGGGAAGAGGCACCCTGCTGAGGTGTCTAGCGTACGAAGAGATTTCGA